TTTTAAATAGTTGATTTGATATTAACATTGATATATTTTTTTTCAAAATTTTATGATATCTTCAAATTTATATTTTATTCAAAAATAAAATCATTATTGTTTTCTTAAAAACACATAAAATCGTATTATAACATCGACATAGACAAATAATAAAATAGAACATTAAAATTGAGATGTGTCTCACTGCATTGCACGAGTACTCTTCTAATAAATATAAATGGTCATGATCAGAATTCTAGAAACCCACTTAAAAATTAAACAATACTTATTCAAATACTAGAAGGGTGCTCGCGCAATACAACGAGATATATCCCGATTTTAATGTTCTATTTTATTTTTTGTCTCTGCCGATGTTATAATACAATTTTATGTGTTTTTTAAGAAAATAATAATGATTTTATTTTTGAATAAAATGTAAATTTGAAAATATCATAAAAATTTAAAAAAAATATATCAATATTAGTATCAAGTCAACTATTTAGAAGTTCTAATTTCTTAAATAATTTATTTAATTTAATTTTTTTACTATAATTTAATTTAAATTTAATAATGAAATAATTTTTTTTTGGTTTAATAATATAATATTTATAAAAATAATACTTAAAAATTCTGTTAGAACTTAATGATTATCCTAATTATATTTTAAATTTTATATATTTAAAATGAGATGTTTATCCTGTATTTGATTATTTTTATCTATAGTTAGTTACACAAATTCAGATATGGAGCTTTAATAAGTTGTACTTACGCATAATCTACTTGTAATCTTGAGTTTTAAGTAACATGCATTAATAAACAGTACTTTATGCATACAAAATGATTTTTAAGAGTTTTTGTCAAATACTTTATAATATAGTATATATAATTTAATTTAAGTTTAATAAGGAAGTAATTTATTTTTGGTTTAATAATATAATATTTATAAAAATAATACTTAAAGATTCCGTTAGAACTTAATGATTATCATAATTATATTTTAAATTTTATATATTTAAAATGACATGTTTATCTTGTATTTGATTATGTTTATCTATAGTTAGTTACACGAATTCAAATATGTAGCTTTAATAAGTTGTATTTATGCACAATTTACTTGTAATCTTGAGTTTTAAGTAACATGCATTAATAAATAATACTTTATGCATAAAAAATGGTTTTTAAGAGTTTTTGTCAAATACTTTATAATATAGTATAGAAAAATATATCAATATTAATATTAAATCAACTATTTAGAAGTTTTCATTTCTTAAATAATTTATTTAATTTAATTTTTATTATAATT